CCCAAATTTGACAGGTACCCGCTCCCACTTATGGTCCGATCGCCTAGGCGTTCGGAAGCGGAAGTTGTCCTCCCTCCCCTCACTCCCTGTAGTCTTTTGGGAGATGTGACAGGTCCCAGAAGACTACAGGACCATTCATGAAGCGCAGCGCTACTCGCGCATGCGCAGTGGGTACTCGGCTGTGAAGCCACAAGCTATCACAGCCGGGTGCCCACACTGAAGATGCTGGCCTCTTGGAATACAGGACGGCCGGTGAAACGAGCTGCAGGGGACACACCACGGGACCGAGGGACAGGTAAGCGGCTGTTTTTTAAAAGTCAGCAGCTACAGTTTTTGTAGCTGCTGACTTTTATTTTTTGGAACTCCACTTTAACGCCACATAAAGAAAGAACAGAGGACATCTCCCATAGTGTAATACTGTTTATTTTCACATAAAATGTTCCAGAGTGGCACTCACATGATAGAAGCAGTAACAGATCGATTTACAATTTAAAACTCCCGCTCCGTAAAAAGCCGGCAATTACGTCACTAGGCTCCGCCCCACGCGTTACGCCACCAACCACGTGGCTTAATTTTCCCTGACAAAGTCATTGCCGGCTTTTTACAGTGTGGGAGTTTTAAATTCTAAATCAAGGTGGCTTCATTTGTCTGGAGCACATTGTATTGATTTTTCCCCATTCAAGCACATTATATATTTTATATTTCATATTTTGATTGAACTATCACATTTGAACTTTTTATGTACTATTATTTATATATGAGTTAGCGCAACACTATTTATATGTTTTATGTTGTAAGTGTGGGATCACCTTTTAAGGTGTTATTGCAGCGGCTCTATTCTATTAGCGTATTCACAAGTTTGATAGCGCACATTGTTTTATTTTATTTAAATATTTTCTGTCATTCCTTTGAGCATAACAACTTTGGAAGCTTCTAAATTATAAGAGGAAATTTGTATATCATAATACTCTAAAATAGGGGCTCTTAAAATAGACCCAGGAGCTTTTGAAATGGATTTACATGGATGAGCCAAGGCATTACACTTTGTTGTTGGTGATACGCCTATCCCAAAACTAGTCTGTCCCAAGACAATTGGCTTTACAATAGGTAAATAGCTTTGAAATGAGATGAGGGAAAATGTACCTTTAGCTTCAGTTGACCCAAAACTTGCTCATTTATGTATATAAACCACACTTGTGTTTGCTCAGCTCTGCTATGTTAGGCATCCAGACATTTAGGACTCTCCTAACACTATACTGTAGAAACAGGTTGAATGTATGGAGAGTAGATTGTGGTTTCTCAGGCTAAAAGTTGCCATGGGAGATTACATTAAATAAATCTATGATGAGAGAAACATGTGACGAATGATTTAGGGGCCCCTTCACAATTTTCCATTTATGTGCAGTCTGTTAATACACTTTATGTCATGCGCAACATGCATTAAGGTCCATTGCAATGATGTGCATGTTAAAGTGCATATTATCCTATTGGCGCGTGTCTGTAGACTTGTCTTTCTTTACCCTGTATAGTGCAGATTGCTGACAGGCTAAATGCACACAAAGTAATATTTATACTGGTTCAGGCCTGTGATAACAGCTCTTAAAGCATAGAAAAAGAAAAAAGTTGAGTTTACCAAATTGTTTGGTAACCCTTTATATATTAAAAGAGAGAATGTGTCTAAACAATATAGTTATTCTTTAACCAATGAGTGTGTGTCTCCATGTTTTGGATAAATAAAGTGGAGTGCTAAAAAAGAAATGAATAGTGAAAACTCAGATAAATGAAATAAAATATAATAAAAGTTCGTTCAAATTATATATATAATCGTCCACTTGACTGAATGTAGTAAATGGCCCCAATGATATTTTCCACAACAGCAGATATCTTCAAAGCCAGTGATAGGAAACAAATGGCAAAAATGCGCACTCACCAACTGCACATAGGAAATGCGCAGGAGGAGCCAAAGAAGAAGGGGTGCCAATAGTGTAGTAACTTCAGTAAATTTATTGGATGTACATGATTAAAATCATAAGTGAACAAAGGGTGCAGGTACAGTACAAAATGTGAAGCTATTAAGAAATGCAGAGTACTGCAGCACTGACCCTTAAGCAAGATGGCCACCGGACCTCCTCGTGGTCTCGGCGGCGATGACGTCACACGCTGTCAGCTCCTCCTGAGGCCTTTCGTGCTAAGGCACATCATCAGAGGGGGAGGCTAACAGCCGTGTGACTGACGTCTGGTGTTTAAATAGAGGAAATGGTGTATGCGCATTAACGCACCGCCATTTTTGTGAAACTGTGCATGCATGCTTTCAGAGACGCCATTTTGCTGTGGATGGATTCAGCAATAGGACACACTCAGCAGAGTAGTGTCAAACTTTATGAAAACTGCCGACAGCCTGAAGCAGAAAACAGCACAGTACCCAGGGGGAATATATGCAGCCCATATAGTGGCTGATAATGCATATTAAAAGGGAGCAGTATCAAGGAGAGATGTCAAGAAAAATACACACAAAACCCTGCTTCTGAGCTAAAAAACCCCAGGGGTGGAAATCATATAAGATTCCTAGAAACAATGTTGTTTGAAAATTAAGAATTAGTATCCACGGCATACAGGATGCTCAATATTAATAATATCAATAAAAATCATAAAACATAAATATATAAATCAACAAGTGACATAAAAAAATTGTTATAGGGTCATATCTACAGAAAGAAAAGAGCCCAATATATCCAGAAAATATGATCATTAAAATATAATAAACTATTATACCATCAATGGCACATAAGGCTCTCACAGATGGTAATGGCAGTAAAATATATATATATAGGATAATAATAAAAATATAGAAGATGAGAATCACCCTATAAAATCTAAAATATAACCTAAAGTGTAAAAAGTCATATAAAATCTAATGATATGATAAATGGCTCAGTTTCATATCCATATCAATTACAATGGGTTAGTGTTATGTCTTCTTTTATAGAGATCAGTCTGATATGGTTATACTGATTTCACCAAAATGATTATATGATCAGATATAATATTAACCAAGTGGTATAATCATAATTATGATAATTAAAAACTAGAATCCAAATTTGCAAAAATATATGTAAAAGTGAGCCCCACAATGGGTATATTGAGGATGAAAGTGAATCAAAGCTAAATTTCTCCATCACAGAATGGGAGGTGTATGGAAGTACATATATCCTCGGGATGAAAGGTATAAGGAAGTTCCAATACCCTCGGGATCAAGTTCATAGACCATGTTGGAGCGATTGTGCAACAGAGTAGGTAAAGACCAGGTTAATTGTTAGCTATAAAACAATTGACATCGATCTCGATGTTATGTCCTCGTGGGTGTAAGGTGTCCAGCTCATACACCCATCTGGTCTCAGCCTGTGACACAGCCCTTACTTTGTTTATGCCCCTCCAGTGGGCAGAAACGCACTCAACACCCACAAATTTGAGGGATGACGGGTCCTTATTATGAAATAACCGATAGTGGTTGGAGAGGGAATGCTCCCTGTATCCCTTCTTGATATTAGTCACATGTTCTCGTAGGCGGTCACACAATTTCCTAATTGTGCGGCCTACGTATTGCTTTCGACAAGCACACTGCAGCAGGTACACCACATATCTGCTTTCACATGAGATAAACCTTTTAATGTCATATGATTTTCCTGTTATATATGATTCAAAGGTATCAATCCGATGTTTCCTTATGCCATTACACTTGCAAATAATGCACCTGTTGCAAGGGTGAAATCCTTTGAGATCATTAAAAAGTTAAATTTTTTTTGGGGGGGTCTACCACATTAGGTGCAATCTGGTGCCTGATTGCTGTGGCTTTTCGGAAAATGATCTCCGGTTTATTAGGTAGAACTTTTCCTAATATGGGATCCATCTTAAGTATATCCCAGTTATTGTGAATGATCCTTCTGATCCATCTAAATTGGGTTGAAAAGGTGTTTACAAAGGGACAAATTTTGGCTTTTGTCAGTTTGGGTTTATTTAATACCATCTCATTTCTATCCAATTGGGCCACTGTCTGAATAGTGTTCTCTAGAGTAGACTTCTCATATCCTTCTCCAAGAACCTATTCTTCAGGATCTCTGCTTGAGAATGGTAGGTGTCAACATCTGTACAATTGCATCTAATACGCATAAATTGGCCCTTTGAGATGTTGCCCAGCCAGTTAGGGTGATGGCAACTAACTGTTGGAATATAGCTATTCCTGTCAGTTGTCTTGAAAAATTACTTAGTAACAATTTTCCCAGTACAATTAATAAGGGTGAGGTCTAGAAAATGTATTTCATGTTGGCTATATACATAGGTGAGACTAATATTAAGGCTATTATTATTCAGGGTGGTAAAGAAATTAATAAGTGATTCCTCCTCCCCATTCCATAGGAGGAGGATATCATCTATGTACCTTTTATACATCACCAGTTCTGGCCAGTCCCTGGCGTAAATTAAGTCCTCTTCCCATCGGGACATAAATAGATTGGCTAAACTGGGGGCGAATTTAGCCCCCATTGCAATGCCTTTAAATGCAATTAGTAAGACTTATTGATCCAAAAATAATTGTGGTTCATTGCAAATTCCAACAGGTCTAAGATAAAGTGCCTCTGTATAGTGGGTAAGGTGCTGTAGTGTGTTAGATAAAAGTCTGCTGCCTCCATTCCATCTGCACGATTTATATTCGTGTAAAGGGAAGCTACGTCCGCTGTTACCAGAAAGGTATTGGGAAGCATGTTTTGCCTACGTAGGGTTGACCTGTGAATCTGGCAAATACTGTACTGCAGTCAATATTAACACCTCTCAATTTGAAACTTTACCCCAGGACTCCAGAGATGTGTCATACACAAAAGAACAACCTTACACTAGTGTGAATCTCTTTTTCTACAGTTTGATTTATCATAACTCATATTTCGTCACCAGGAAGGAAGAAGCTTCGGCTGTTTGAATATCTCTATAACGCTTTGTGTGACCCCAACATGGTCAGCTGCATTCAGTGGGTGGATGAAGCCAATGGCATCTTCCAATTTGTCTCAAAGAACAAAGAGAAATTAGCAGAGCTGTGGGGTAAAAGAAAAGGCAACCGTAAAATCATGACTTATCAGAAAATGGCCAGAGCCCTGCGGAATTATGGCAGAACTGGAGAAATTATGAAGGTTCGAAGAAAACTGACCTATCAGTTCAGTAAGCTGATTTTGCAAAGACTGTCTTCGGTGTGCTTTTCTGGGAAAGAAAGCATATACTACCAATATGTTCAGCCTGACCTGGAATACTGGAGTAACTATCATGACATGGACAATAAGTATACTTACAATAGCAATGTGTATTCTTTAAAATGGTTGTAAACCCTCACATATATCCAGTGAAGTGAATTGCCTCGGGTGATACACAGAGATGAAACAAATCCTCCTACATAATTTTTACTTTATCTGCAGTCTTCTCTTTTCTACATCCTTTCAAAAGTGCTGATTTTAGATAAAATTCTTCTGCATTTGTCAGTAGCACAGAGATGGTGACAGGGAGCTGCAGTTAGAGCTCTGTGAGAGCTGATTGGAGGAAAGGGACACCACACACACACACAGCACACAGGAGATATGTTGTGAATAGACAAGCTGTCTGCTGTGCTCTCCCCCCCTCCCTCCGACACAAATTTATCCCTTGTGCCCCGAAATTGTCAGAAGTGACTCATGCTGATAACAGAGGAATTAAGCACTAGAAAGAAGTGAGAGCTTTGCAGAGAGACAAGTAAACACTACAGATATCTGTGCTTTGTTCAGATTCCATGACCGAGGTTTGCAACCACTTCCAGCTATCCGTATACTTAAAAAAAGTGAACTTTTTGCATATTGCAGCAGACTGAAAGAGTATCAGTGGATCTTGCATATAAAAAGAGTGGTGAAGTCATATATTGGGGCTGGTTTATTAACCCATTGCCAATGCCGGTTGCTTGAGTGGCCTGCGGTGCCTGAGGACACTAAGACGGGCGCACGATTAGCTGAAATGTGCTGGGGCCACAATTATTGACATTATTTTAGTGTATTCTACAAACTTTAAATGAGTTTTGGCCCCTACTCCTCCCTGTGTCCCACCTGCATTTTCAGGCCCACTGATTTTCAAAAGAGTCCTAGGTATGCTCATTGGTTACATTTGCCAAATCAGATACTTTTGTTTTTAGCACTTTTTAGGCCCTAGGTGATCTTCTTTGTTGTAAATAACACACTTTTTTTCATTGCTTTTATATTATACTAATACATTTTTTTTATTTAATGAGGACAATATTCCACTTTTTTCAAGTAAATATAATAACACAATAAGATATCATCTGTATTTTGCTATACAATAACAAAATAAACAGTTCATTGATTTATACTAATCAGTTATTCTGGCTGTAAGTTAATAAAAAAGAAGACATTCTTTTAGAGGCCAAACTGGACTTCTGTTCTGAGATAGTGGTTAAAATGTAGGTAATACATGTAGTGATAGTACTAAATACTATTTCACATGACATAAACTATACTTTTCTCCACATTTACAGGCAGACCAAGCTGTCCTGCAAAAGTGATAGTGAAAGGGTATGGGACAAACTATAATACTGCATATTGTCAGCTGATTTAAAATATGAAAGCACACCCAAAGAGTTATGGTTTGCTACAGCCCATGTCACTGGCAATTCCAAGACCAAATTCTAGTGGTCTTAGCCTAGAATATGTAGCACAACCTCATAGTAGAAATTATATAATGCAATAATTGGTAGGCTTAATGACAAAAATATAGCTCATTCTCTAGTCTAAAAAGTTAATTTACATGATCATGCTAAACCTAATACCTCTAGTGGTTAATACTGTGTGCCAGTTGGGCACCCCCTCCCCCCCCACACACACATTGAGTGCCCCCATAGGAAGCAGTTTTGCACAGAGCAGCCCCAATCCTATTCTTTTTGGGTCCCCCACTGACAGTCCTGGCTCCTTCCCCATGCTGAATGCCCTCAACAGCAAGCCTATTGCTATGGAAGCACTTGAGCAGGCTCACTCCTGAGCCATGCTCTGTGTATCCATTTACACAGAGCGAGGCATCGGGTCGCATTCTGTTTTACCCTTGGACAGGAGGGGTGGCGGGGGTGCATATAAAGGAACCAATCCTCTCCATTTTCCTCTTCCAAATGCTAAAAGCCGGCTTCTCCTCCTCTCCCTTCTGCTGGAATTCAGCAGCTGCAGAAGGAAAATGTTATGCTATTCAAAATAAAAAAGGTGAAATTCTGAACCATTTCATTTCATTGTGGCCTATGACATGTTACCAATTCACTTAAGTGATTTAAGGTCTTCAAACGGTTGAGCACCCCTGTTTTAACCTGAAAATTAAAGCTGAATTCTAGGTATGATTTGTATTTCATGGAAACATTAGTGTAGCCAGGACCAATGGAAGTTCAGGGGGTTGGACAAAAATATGGAAATACGACATGATTTGCAGGTGTGAAAGTGATGATATGTTTCGCATTCAAAGCATAAGTGATGTAACATTCTTTTGCTTCCGCTGTGTAATGAGACACCTACCTAACAGGTGGGAAGCCTCACTTTTGTCATTCACTGCGCACACTGCTAGTAATACTGAGTCATGTCAGAGCTTACTGAGCTTTAAAGTGGGCAAATTGTTGGTGCCGCTTAGCTGGTGCCTTTGTGACTGAAGTTGCCAATTTATTTTAAATAGCAATTAAATGTTGCGCTAAGTGTGAAAGAAAAAGATTCTATTCAAAAAATAATTAATCATGTGAACAACTATACTGTACATACACAGTACAATGTGCAAATTAATGCCTATAAGTGATATCATATATCCATATAAGGAACAATACAATGTTCATGTGAATGACAGCTTCCACAAACACTTTGTGAAAAAGAACATGCGTTTTCTTTAGTGCAATATCAATAGTATTGATCTTCTTTTCATCCAATAAATCACCAACGTGAACGGACCACCACCATATGTGTAAAATGGAGGCTTACCAGATGAGAAGACCCCTTGTTATAGGGGTCTAAAAAGGATCTATATAGATGTAACTCTGTCCAAACCACATGTTGTAACAGGGACCCAGATTTTACTTAGGTCAGTAAGCCATTCTTATAGCAGAACCAAGACAGTGTCATGTATAATACAACATTCCTCTCATAGTGCAGTAAAAACTAATGTGTCTCCCACCTTCCCTGAGCAGTTGCTGGACCTCATTATGATAGAGTTACTATTGTCAATTTTGGAGAACAAGGTTCGGGCTCGTTTTCCCCCTCTGGCATCTCTGCAAGTACTGGAACGATTTTTGCACGAAGAACAGTATCAGATTCCGTTATTCACCATCCAAGACTTATATTTGTCAATTCCCAGGAGAATCCAGGCTGGCTTGGATGCTAAAGACAGTCCAACACCATATTAGGTAATGATTTCCTTATTTATTACCTGATGTTTCCATAATTTTGTCCAATTGCTGTACATATATACCATACCTGTGAAATCCCTATGGAAGCTGAAACTTCACAATCACCACCTCATCCAATTATAGGATGCTTTGCATTTATTGTTTCAAGAAACAATGCAAGGTGGCCTCTGAATGGTGACCATGCCAAGTGAACAACCCCTGTGGTTAATATATTGCAGGGGACCTGGAAGACCGTGGTGAGCACTGTAGTATTGGTGACTACTGCAGTGAATTCCACAGGTATGTAATATGCACACTTACATTGGTCTAAGCTGGCTCCCAGAGACAAGATGACATTTAGACTTTTCGGACTTCTTTTAACAGATTTGACAATGATTCAGTCCCTGCAGGGCAGTTTATGACAACTACATATTTTTCAAAAGCTCAAAATGTAAATGTTAGAAAGCCTTGCCTAATCATTTTTGTTTTCCCCAGTGCTGTATGTGCTCAGCTGTCCCTCATCTATTGCCTTAAGCATTAGCATTGTGGCAGCTAGATACTTCTGTTTAGGGGAGAAACAGGTCCAGGAGGTATGATGTTCATGCATGAATGATTTGGCCTTTCTTAAACAGGAACTGAAACAATTGAGTACTGACGTGATACTTTATTTATTTGCACTAACATACAATTTTGAGGACAAGCTTAGGGGGTATGTCCCCTTCTTCAAGGTCCAAGCAGTACTCACGTCACTACTCAATTGTTTCTGTCGCAAGTGCACTAATATGGCTACAATCACCTCAAGCAAATTAAACAGGAACCGAACTTTGGAAGCATTGTCCAAAAAGTGCAGACAGAGGACAAATGACTAGTCAGTGGTATTACCTGTGGATTCTCTATAGATGATCTTTTTCCCATTACTGATTACTTATCATACTTTGTTCTACCCTATATCTCTGTGTGGAGGCAGACAATTTAGTAGAAGCAAGATTTTGTTTCCTCATGTCAGAACCTTCAGAAAGAACAGTGAGCAGCACAATAGTGACATCATCAATTCTCACGAAATCTCCTGCTACCAGCAGTCAGAATTAGGATTACCTTAGATCTCCAGGCAAAAGGTACATTTTTCAAGGTACTACTTAGTTACAAAAAACATTTCTAGATGTGTTGTGTGGCAGGGAAAAGCAAGTGCTCTATATCTATTTCCTGTCTGGCTCTCGGTGACTCTCTCGAATGTAATATGGAGTCCCATGATCCCAGAAATGGTGGCTCAGGGAACACCTGTAGAGTGGCCTAGCAAGCACTTCCTGGAATCCACTCGCATCCATACTTATCTAGTAATAAACTCTACTATGACCCCCAATGCAAAAGAATGTTTACAGGAGACATTCCCATATAGAGTAAAGGAAGAAGCAGTCCTTTCAAGAAATGGCTTTTTAAGACTTTACTAAGTTAACCACTTCCGGCCGGGCCCATGTGCATAAACATCTGGACGGAAGCAGTGCAGGAGCAAGTTGCCATTCATAAACGGCGCCTGCATTTACAGCCTGTGCGTGCTCCCTGGGAGCGCTTGGCACTGCGGACACAGCGAAAAAACCATCGCTGTACGGGACCTCTGTGTGAGGTCCCGATCATGTGATCACTGATTGGCCAATCAGTGATCACATAAATAGTAGTAAGCAAGATGTCACTTGCTGACATCATTGCTTACTACTTGTGAAATCTGTGAATGATCACAGAGATCACATGGTACCTTGGTACATTTTTGGTTATAAACTCATTTGCGTTATTTTTTTTTACTAAAAACCTAACTGAATACATTTTGGCCAAGTTTTATGATGAAAGATTATTTATTTGCACAATTTTATAAGGAAAACACCTTAAAAACATTTTTTGGACTTTTTCATTTATATAAGCAAAAAAAAAAAAATCCCAGTGGTGATT